GATTGGTTTGTGGATTGATAGACGTAATCGAGCCGTGTATTAAAAAAGGTTATAATGATTTTTTTGGAGTGGAAATGATTAAAAAGGATTTGATCGATTGTTAATAAGGATTTGGGGTGTTGAGATAATGATGTTTGGTGATTAATACGGTGTGTATTTCGAGTACGAAAAGAAAGAGATGTTTAATATTTGCACATTAAACCTTTTTTCCCCTTCTCAAAGATAAAGATATGTTACAACGACTCGATTTAGATAATTTTACTTTGAGGTGTGTTGAATTAGAATAAATTATTTAAAATGTTAAATAAATATTTTAATTTAACAGTGAAGTTTTGTAGTTATTCGTGCTTTTTTTTATAAATGTTTACTGGAAACTTAAAAAAATAAATTTTTGTGTCTGTTCTTTGTTCCAATTCGTTATCACGCAATCTGACTGGTAAATAAATATTCAGTTTTAGCGTGCCCTTTATGAATTCAAACATCCTTTTAATAACATCCAATCCAATTCAATTTATGTTTCGATTAATTAAAACCTGTTAATTGCATTAAATAAAATAATATTTAATTCTACGTATATAATACTGTTCTATATTCTACTATATATTTACTCTACAATTCTATTATTCTATAAATAATAATATTTATAAATACATATAATCGAAGATAATCAAAAAAACATTTTTTTCAACCCGAATAATATTTTATCTTTCTTTTAATATTCTGTGGGAAAAAAATTGTTTTTATATCGACGTATTTAGATAATTGTGAATAGCATACATTAAATTCTTCATTCATTCAGAAAGTTTAACTGAAATATATTTAACAGCAACGTATGATTGCAAGAAGAAAAATTTAATTTCCTTGCACACAAATTTTTTCAATGTGAATATACCAGCTCAATTTTCTTTGTATAAATCCTCAGTGTACGTAAAAAGGACAAAAAATAATAATAATAAAAGCATCAAGTTAATTATCAATAAAATAAACACTGTGATCTAACTTCGTAAAATAACATTTGATTTATTTTTTTAAAAATATCATAAAATACATTTATAACCGATAGACAAAGAAATGTTAATCATTATGATAGATATACACATATTTTTCATCACGCAAATAGTTTTATTTTTTATTTATTTTTATTTATTTATTTATTTTTTTTTTTTTTCATAATGACTTAAAAAATATTTTTATTGCTTTCGCGGTTTAAATCATGTTATGTCTACCAGAAATGAATTATTACGCTAAAATAAATAATCAGAAATTAAACGTTTAAAAGTAAATACAGCCATATCCAGAACTGTTAGAGGAAAATAAATACGAAAAAGAAAAGGGGCTTGGAAACGGGGGAAGAGAGAAATGACCCTCACTCACAAAAGAAAACATTCTCTCCCTGCAGTAGAAGTAAGGGATGTTCTAACAGAATAAGAGGGGGAATGTTACAATCCCCTCCCCCTGCACCGTATGTTGCAGATTTACGTGCTATTGAAAGCTTAAGCTGAGGTTTCTTCACTTTTCTTAACAGCTTTTGGATAAAACGTTCCGCTAAATAATGCTTTTGATCAATATTTTAGCCAATAAGAGAAATGCTACAGACGATGCCTTTACAGTGAAGCAAGAGGGGTAAAATTCTTTTACAAGCATAAAATATGTTATATAGGTATTAGAAAGAGATAGAAAATGAGACGTGAAATTCGTTTCAAAGTTATCACGATAACATGCTAAAAATACCATAACACCAATAAAGTGAAAAAGGTAGTAAGATTTTTTTTTTTAAATTTATATGTTTTTAAAAAATAATTCTAAGAAAATATTTATTAAAAGGAGTTCCGATTTTTATTATGATTGTCGATTGCAAACGATTAAGATGATACAAATGAAATTCAAAATGGGAGAGAATTTCGTTTTATCATTTTTAAATAGAGAAAGTTGCCATTAAAAAAAACATGAATCATTTTTATTGTTTTCATTAATCTAACAAATACATAATTTCGAAATATTTTTTTATTTTCAGATTTAAAGATAAATGAATCGAAGTGACCAGACTTTTATTTAGTAAAAGCATTTTTGAGACTAAAGCAAACAATCAAAAAAAATTCTATGATCAAATTAGAAATTATGCATGGTTAAAAAGTTAATGCAATAAAGTTACAATTTAAGAATTCATAATAAAATTATACACACTTTAAATTCGAAAGTAAATATATTTTTAAGAAAGTCAGAAAATATCGATATTTATCGAACAGAAATATTGCAGACGAAAAATAAACTTTTTTTTTTAAATATTACAACGAATGATGCCAATAATTTTTATAGCTCCTTTCCCAGAATTCTTCACAAAAGAATTTTTAAAAAATCAAACATTTTAGAATGTAAAAAAAAAGGAAATTTTTTTTCAAGGTTTTCATTCAAAATATTTTTTTGGAATTCATATTATGCTAAAGCTTTTAGAAAAATGATAAAAAAGAATCCGAAAGATATTATAATAAGGTAAATCTCCAAGTTACGCAGTAATGAGTTGACTGTTTTTTTATTCTTCTAGCATGGCAACAAGGGCAAATTTTAAATTGAAGGTGAGTTTTTATGCACATAAGTTCATTTCTAATTTACAAATAAAAATCAAAAAAAAAATTTAATTTTCATGAAAGAATGTAATTTTTTTTATAAAAAAATGTTATTGTTTAAGCTAATTTTATTCATTAAATAATTAGTTTGATTCAAGTAGTAGGAAAACATAATTCTTATACTGTTGTACTTTCTTATAATTATAATAAGTATTATTATTGTTTATATATAAATTTGCTTAACACTTTTTTTAAAATTAATATTCAGTGGTTTGCATTGATATTTAATATTAAAAAGCTATGTCTGTAAACTATAAAAATCTTATGTGAAGAACTTTCAAGGTTAAAAAGCGTTGGTACTGGTTTAGTAATTTAAATTTCCTTTTTGAAGAACTCTTTCTCGTTAAAATGTATTTCGAAATAAATTTTTAAAATAACAGGTTTTTTCTTGCAATTCTTTTTTTTTTTCAAATGGGGCTGCAAATTGGTAATAACCACATTGCAGACCTAGTACATTTCCCTAGAGTTGGCATCACTTTTCATTGAGGCATCATGTAGGAGAATACTAATTGCCGCAATGTAATTTTGACGCCCAATGCCCCCTGAGGATGCAAAATTGTACTAGGAATTTAATTCTGCCAAGAGTACATAAGCCAAACATGGACTTTAGAGATCTTTAACACGCAGCATATTCAGACAACATGGACGCAGTTGAATTTTTGAATCATGATAATCCACAAACTTGGGCAGGATTCGAACTCGACAACTTAGGTGTACAAGGCCAGCGCCTAACCAACTATACCACCCATCCGGCATTATTTATTTATAAAAAATAATGATTTTTCTATAAACAGTTATTAAAAAGTTTCGCGATTTACTATAATGCTGAATATCTTATTTTTTTTTTTATTTCTATTATGTATATAATTCTTTTTCAAAATTATTCTAAGCATATCACCTAGTATTATTTTAAACTCTATAATTCCAAAAATAAATAAATAAAATAAAATAAAAATGCTTTAAAATTATTATGAAAATAAAAATTCATGCCTTTATTCTTAATAATAGTAAGAATTCTTCCGATATTCCCATAATCTTTTTTATTTTATAAAAACATATCATAATTCCTTTTTCTTCAAAAAGATAATATTATTATGATTTTAACAAAGAAATAACGAAATCATATCAGATCGCAGCAGACCAAAAGTCTGAGAAAAAACAGAAAAACAAAAAAATAAATAAATAAATAAATTTAAAATCCGCCTTTTCTCCGACGCTCATCGTAGCGTGAAATTTGCACACATCTCAGAAATCATCTCATGCATAAAATTTTCCTTTTCAGATTATGAATATTGAATGCAATAAATAGCAAAGCTTTTTGAGTTTTAAAACACAAACATCTTACCGAGAAATATCTCTTCACCAATAGAACAAAGGGATATTGTCACACATGATATCAAAGCACGTGTAATTTAGAAAACATGTCACAGTATGTAATTAAAAAAACTGTATCGTAAAAATTGTAACAATAGTACAGTCATCATGAAAGATGACTTTTGAAACAAGGGATGCTTATGTTTCTTCATTACTCCCCCCCCCCTTCTTTTCGAACGGGAGATAATGATTGTGAATAATCGTTTGGCGTTTGGCTTGTACTGAATTCTCAATTGTGTTTGAGATAGGAAATGTATTTCAATAATGCTATCTAATAGTTTAATCATAGTATAATATGACCGATATAATATTCATTTACAATTCTTCTTAATTTAAAAGGAAAAAGAAATGTTTTAAAATAATTTTTATAAATAAGGCACAGATACTAAAAAATTTCAGAAAATATTTCAAGGTGATCGACTGCGTTTCGAACCGTGATTTTGAAAAAAAGCATATAATTTTTCTTTTTCAATTCCTACTATTAGTTCATACCAGTAGCGCACACAGAAATTTTTCAATTTTTTCCAGGGTCGAAAGTTCACCATTCTTGTATTTTGCTCCTTTTGATTTTATCGATTTTCGGGAACAAAACACAGTAAAAAACTAATTATTGAATAAATAATTAGCATTAATTAATAAAATTAATCATTAATAAATACTTAATTAGATTTTACGTATTTTATACTTAGAATTATAATCAATAAAAAAAATCGACGGCTTTGGGGGGTCCTGGAGGTCCGGATACTCTCCTTATATATATATATTTATATATATATTATATATATATATATCTTGTTCAAATTTTCAATCGTTTATAAAAATACTTTTTATTCATCCATTCAAGTTCAAATACATTCTTTTAAACTTGTAGTGGATGACACTTGATGTTAATACAGTGTTTTTCAAATATTAATTCATTAATTAAAAGTAATTAATGAATAAATAGTAACAAACAAAAATAATAGTCCAACACCAGGTATAAAAAGGAAAAACGCTTGTAATATCCCTGTAGCAAAATGGGTAGCGAGGTGAACTTTTAATACAAAGGTCGTGGGTTCGAATCCCACCTGGGATGGCCTAATTTTTTAGAATGGGGATTTCTTTTTTACTATATACTATTTTATTGGAATAATTACATTTAATTAATGAATAAATAGTAACAAACAAAAATAATAGTCCAACACCCTATATAAAAAGGAAAATGGAAAATTGTGAGGAAAATCGCTTTCAATTTTGCCACTTAATATCGTGATCCTGTCATATATATATGCATATTTATATTAATTGCAATTATTTAATAAAAAGTAACTAAAATATAAAATTTTTCTTTGCTAATCTAAGTAGGAATTGACTTAAAAATTTTCTTTTTCTATTACTTGTTTTAAATTTGATATCATTTGAATTAGAATATACATATAAAATTGTTTTATATATATAAGAATATTACAATAAGAAAAGTTATTTAAGTGCAATTTTGGCGGGGAAAAAAAATTACATATTTTCAAAACATTCTCCTTCCATGAAAAAAGGTTCTATAATAATAATGTTTTGTCTCTCTCTATATATAGCTAAGATTTCTATACTGTACCTGAGCCAGAAGTTTTTTAAATATATAATTAAAAAGTGGGGGGGGGGGATTTATTTATACTTTAATGTATAACAGTAGAAAAATTTTAACGATAAACACCGTTTATTATTTCAATTGATTGTAGCTCTGAAAATAATGTGAATTTTTCAAAACTCCTAAATCAGGCCTTGCATAGAAGTCTTAGCTATATAAAAACAAAATATTGTAATTATAAAAGCATTTTCCATAAAAGGAGAATGTTTTGAGTTTTCTTCATTTCTTTGCCGGAAAATTGTATTTGAATATTTTTTTTCTAATAATATTCTTAAAAACAATTATATATATATATTTTTTAATTCCACACAGACACTAAATATAAAAGAAAATATTCATTAATGCGCTTTTTCAAAATCACGGTTCAAATTCAAATATATTCAAAATAAGGATTTAAAAATAATACGAATATGCATATCAAAATGTACAGTTTCTAATCGATATTAACTACATATTTCTTTTTCAAAAAATAAGTACATATATTACTTATCTTAAATTTAAATTGCATTCTTATTAAATTCCCAGATTTTGCAAATAATGATTCTTTTTTTTTAGTTCCTTACAAAATATTCCTTTAGGGTTAATAATTTGATAAATAAAAATAGCATATAAATTAATTAAATTATGTGTAATTAAATTAATTCTAAATTAATATTAAAAGGAGTTTTTAAAAAAAAAAACTGGACAGTCGCGCATTTAGTCTTAAAACACCTGGCAATTCTTTATGCGGAAAATATGGGCCCACACACGTCGCCATGAAAACCGAACACCCAGTAAGGGCGGTGTGCTGCAGGGGTTTGTGAGAGACCGATAAAGAAACCTGCTGTCAACAAATAGCTTAGCAATTGGGTATTCAACCACACTTGACAACATCTGGATAGGTAGACTACCAATTGCTAGTAAAAATTAATTTATTCTAAATATTCTCCAGAGATCTTACTCATGCCTGAAATTGATTTTAAAAAATAAAAAATTCGTAAATGGCAAACTTCAGAATGATTAAAAATTTAAATATATATATATATATATATATGTCGCGGAGTTTCATCAAATCCTTAAGGGATAGGATCAATGGACGGGGATGTTAAAATATCGTCTCTTCAAGGTTATTTCCCTGATGAAAGTAAGTCTAATCCCTGAACTGCTTCAGTGAAATGATGAAATGAACTAGTCATTGGCCAAATGCTATACAGGGGGGGGGGGCCCCCGGGGGGGGTCGAGTCCTTGTACTTCCTAACCACACATGTAGTACTATCGATCCCCTAAATATCAACTCCATATCTTTAAAAAAATGGCACCAAAGGATTAAAATAGGGATTGATTACCAGCCTAATTTTCGAATTATTTGTTAATTAGTTTCGAATAAATA